CTTCACAGAACATCCCCCGATTTGTCATCGTTCGTTGTGGAGCAGGTGGAGATACCCTGATCCGAAATGTTGACTCATAGTTGTTAGGTCTAACCACGTCTCCATATTTACTCTCCTCTCACTCCTGTTCCGTTGGCCAAACATGATCCGATGACTGCGAAGCATCCGCACAAACAACTGCTGCTTTGCTGCTACAAATACAACAACCTTCACTAATAACCGTATTACAACCTACTAACACTACTAAAACTAATACTAATACCAGTAATACTAATACTGCTACCACTACTGCTACTACCACTACTACTTATACCAATAATAATAAATTAGTATTACTACTACCACTACTACCACTACTACGGTCTAGGCCAAAGGCTTCAAACTGACACGCAGATGCCTCATTTTCGCATGGTGTACTGGTCGTCCCTCGCCCGATTTGACGGTTGCCTTTTGTTCGGAACTGCACATCGCTGGTCCCCACAAGAAAGACAAAAAAGACCGGTTTCGGACGAGCAGATACGGAGCGAGATGTATTGCCTGATGATCACACCGTCCAATATAAGAGTCAAATAGAACATCCGTGAACCGTAAATAAAGTGCGCGTGGAAACCTCTAGAATGGCCAATTTACGACCAGTCATGCAATGCCTCTATCGTGCTAATTGGCCGGTTCATCCAGTTGCCTACCTATCCGTCCAATCCATACGGGCGAGTTTCCGCTCACCGGCCATGCTTTGGCTCCGTATGGGCGATCGGCGCCTCGGCTACTTGTCCACAAATTGCCTTCCTAACACATAGTATTAAAGGGTATTGCATCAGTTGCTAATTAGGACACACTGAGTGCAACCATCGTAGCCTGTGACATCAACCTTGCGTAATAAATTGTGAGAACAAACATTTGTCCCATTTCAGTGTGCCTGTTTGCCCGTTCGATTTGATCTAGTATTCGCAAGAAAATGAGCAAATAACCAGCACTCTATGCCATTCAAACAGCTGAGACAGCAAAAGTACGTGGAGTGCGGTACACGGAACGTGATATTTCTGTTCGAATTCGCTGCAGCAAGATAGGGTCTCACAATACGATCACCAGATACCAGCTAGGTGACATATCTTCTCACCGAGATAGAAGTGGATGTCCGGGAAAAACAGCACCTAGGGATGACCGTCTAATCGAGGCCAACGTTTCACGCTCTCCAACAGCTTCATGTAGGAAAATCAAAGCTGTTTTGCTTTGTACATGTTGTTCTGATTTGCTTATTAGCAGATCACGACCACATAGATGGACGAGTTGCATTGTAGCTTGCAATCAATCGAGGTCCGTTTTGTTGTCTGATTTCACGTGGGGGAGAGGAAGAAATGCCTGTTATCAGAGATGGCGACAAAGTGGTGTCACCTCGACGAACTAGTAGTTGCGATTCGCCGGTGCACACTGCAGTTAGTGTATCGCGATCGATTGTACACGTACGGTGCAAAACGTCGCAGCAGATAGGCAGTTACGTATGTAATTGCGCATTATCTACGCGGCACTTGGGCCACCTGTGTCGCGATTGTTAGGCGAAACATTTCACTACTCATTGATTAGTGGTAGTTCGGTTTGTTTCAGTGAATCGCTCGGGAGCAACAGCATACAACCAATTGCATTGGGTGTGGAGAGCAATCATGGTACCTGATGGTGTGCTTGATGGGCATCCAAACGAGCGACGCATGCGATCATCACCTGTGACTGTAGGCATGCTCCGGGTGATCAGGGGTTTTGGATTAGTGCGATCCGGGTGCATTGTACAGCCGACTAAAGGGTGGGGTACTCTGTGGGAATCGAATGATGAGCCATAGTGTGTGAGCCGTGTTGAAGAGGGAAAAGAGAGAAGGCGGTCTCCACGCACGGACCGGGCTGATCACTGGCTCGCCATTCACAAGCGCTACCCCGCTACCGCACCACGCGGGGACTTTTGCCTGCCGGGTTTCCCCCCTGGGCCGGTACGCCCCTCCTTAGACGACCTGGGGAGTCAGCCCTCCGACCGGCTCCCCATATCGGCGCCGTGCTTAGCATGGACGCCTGATCAACATGCACGTGCCAGCATCAGAACTCCCGGTCCCACGAAATTCCACCTCCAGGCCTCCAAGTAGCCGGATTACAGGCGCACGCCACCACGCCCAGCCGCACGTCCGCATGTGACAAATTCATTCAATCCAAGTAGCATCCGAAATCCGCAAACCTATCACACTCACACACCACTGCCACCTTCAATAACGACGCACACACGCGTACACGCTGCATACACACGCACACGCTCACGCTCACTATCGCTGAACCGCGTGACTACACGTGCTGCTTATGCATCCGATCGGTAAACACCACTCGTCCCAGACAGGCCAGGTGCTCAATCCCTTGCATGCCTTACCGTGTTCGCAACCAACACTTGCATTGCACCCACTCCAGCAAATGACCATGTGAAACAGTGTGACTGTCTAATCATCCCATTGCCGCATGCACACACACAAACACACAAATATGAGCGAGCGATCCCAAATGAGACAGACTGCAAGCGGACATTTAGACTACCAGTTCATCACGTATACCAACGCTTTGCTTCCCTTCCGCAACCTCAGTGACCACCCGCTGAGGACAGACAACCCGTGGATGCGCACTTGTTCCTGCACTCCTCACTCGTTCCTCACTCCATCGCCCAGTTCGATACTTCCAACGTGGCAACACGATTCTACATGTGGCACACAGCACACAACGTGCACGAACCCGAAAATGCATCGGCGACAGTCACTGCCAACTGCTCAATCCGATTCCCCAGAATATTCCGTCGTATCTGGGACCAAGGCTGGCTGGCTCGCTGATCACGAGTATTCACGTTTGTCTGTCAGTCACCTCTGCTGTTTGCTGAACGCACCTACCAGATCTGTAGTAATGCGGTTCAGCAACCCACATGATCGCTACCCATTCCGCAAGCATACCAACACTCTTCTAGCTTCCTCATCGTCTAAAATATGGTGACGCGAACCGATGAGGAAGCAACCCACATCACTATTCGCGCGGTCAGTTGCATGCATTCAAACTTTCCTCATGCTGCCGCCACTACACATAACACTGGAGTACGTGGGTCGCACTCCCATCCCCATCCGCATCTTTCCTACATCCTGAGTGCATCCACATATGGTACGTATGCATTGCCACATCTTCACCACATCTTCACTTTGCGTCAGTTGTTGGAGCACCGCCACACATATTGGCGGCCCACCGTATTCGTGTTCCTCGACATCAAAGGTGCCTTCGATTCGGTTGATTGATGTGCCCTTTGGAATTGTCTACTCAGGAAAGGTGTGCCCGAGAAATATGTAAATATTATCCAAGCATTATATGCGCGTAGCACGGGCAGAGTGACGGCTTACGGCAAGCTGTCGCCACCCTTTAATATCTCCAGCGGTGTGATACAAAGATGCCCGCTGTCACCTTTCCTCTTCAACTTCGCTATTGACGAAGTCATGGAGTTTGCGTTTACAGGACATGACTTGAAAGGTGTGGAGCTACTCCCAGGAGAACGACTTCTTGACTTGGAGTATGCTGACGACATTGCCCTCATCTGTGACAGCTCCCAGACGTGCCAAGCCGCGCTAGACAGATTAGCACTGGCTGTCAGCCGCTTCGGGCTTTGCTTTGCACCATCCAATTTCAAAGCGCTCCACCAAGATTGGCAGGGATCGCCTCCTGCGCTGACCCTTGGTGGGGATCAGCTAGAAGTCGTTCAGAAATTCAGTCACCTGGGAAGTTGTATCAGCACCCTTGGGATCGAAGACGAGATCACGAACCGTATAGCGAAAGCTCGAAGTGCTTTTGCTAACCTTCGCCACCTATGGTGGCGGCGCGACATCACTCTCGCCCTGAAGGGTAGGGTGTACAATGCAGCGATACGTTCGACCTTACTGTACGGTTGCGAAACCTGGCCCCTAAGGTCGGCGGACATGAAGAGGCTAGTTACGTTTGACCAACGGTGCCTTCGCAGTTTGGCTCACATATGGTGGGAACACCGCGTGAGTAACGAGCGTGTTCGACGCATTGTTTACTGCCCAGGAAAAGGATCTGAACCGCTCAGCACCGTTATTTCCTTCACCAGGCTCCGATGGTTCGGCCACGTGTTACGCATGCCAGCCCACCGACTCCCTCGACGTGCGTTGTTTGCTCACCGGGGATGTGGGTGGAAGAAGAGGAGAGGTGGCCAAGCGATGACTTGGTCGAGAGGAATGAAGTCCCTCACCTCGGAGCTAGCCTCGGTTGGAGCTTCACGGCTCCCTCATTGGGGTCCAAAAGACGGTGAACACGTTTGGCTGGATACACTTGCTGACATGGCAAGGAGCCGACCTCAGTGGCGTTCATGCTGTGAGTTTCTTTGTCCCTCCCCATCCCTTTTAGCCTCCCCATCCATCTACGATCTCATTTCTAGGGTAAAACATAATATTTTTTTTCTTTTGCCTAGTAGCTAGCTGGAAGCTACCAGAACGATGCCTATCCGTTGCTGGTAGCTCAGCTGGCATGCAACTGTTGTATCTACTTCTCCTTTGTGTATTGTATTGTATGTATGTATGTATGTATTTCCTTCATGTATTGCGGCACAATAGCGGAGGTGTTTTTCCCATCTCTAGCTGATGTGTATAATGATGATGATGACGTATGCATTGCGTGACCGCAAGTGACGCTGGTAACTGACCACACACAACAATCAGATCGCTTGCGTTCCTCAATTTCCAAGCTCGACGGTCAACCGATAGTTCATTGCGCACTCAAGAGACGTTGATAGTAGTAATCAATCTGGAATTCTGTCATTCGGTATCGATTATTTCATGGTTTTTGGGGGATTGACATAGAACACAATGAATGCTATTGTTTGATTGCTGCTCTATTGAGCTACGTTCTGGCTTACATAGGTATCGCGGTTTATATCGCTTAACGATTAAGTTTCACCCCCACATTCTGCTGATAGATGGAATGAAGTGGGATTTTTTATTGACAGTATTTTGGCTATGTGTGGAAATAGGGACATATACAGGGAGAATGGTACAGGGAGAGGGAGTAATATTCATTGTTCCGAGGGTAATAACAGATCAGATGAGGTGAAAGGCTATTGGAAAACGCATGAAATGCCGAAATGTTGCGTCCGACGCGAGGGAAAATAATTGTGGCCCTAATGAGCCCACACGAAACACATATCACAGTTTGCGTGTGTCCCGCCCGTATCAAATCACCGCGCTCTGGAAGGGATGCGTTCGTGAAAATCCAGGGTCAGAGCAACAACTGTGCCATGTGGGATATAAACTGCACACATATTGATGCGGCTTCGCAGAACATTGTTAACCCTAGTGTTCTGCATTTTTACCCACAAACGTTTACACGCAAGAGCATGTATCTGTGTAAAAAAACAAACAAAGCGTATTCCCATTCGTGGGTGTAATTTCTCGTTAAAGCACGACTTCTACTATTCGGCTATTTACAACACCGGGACAGGAAAACAAGTCTACTCAATGAAACCTAAGCTAATCTGATAAGTGGTAGGGAGGAGGTGCTGATTTCCGGGAGATCTCCACCATTGAACTGACAGCCTCTTGTAGCATTTCGTCCCAAATTTCCTCAGCCAGCGCGTTCTTTAGTCGTTTTTCAATTGGGCCATAGGCGAGCCACGAGCATTCCTCCGCACGTAACTCCAGCTCCAACAAGCGATCAAAAGCGGATTTTTTTGAAAGGGACCACTGAGTCAAACGTGATAGGTTGTCCAGATGGAAGTTGGCCACAGGCTCAATTGACGAATCGGTATGTCCCCGGGGATTTTGGGGGTTTGAAAAGCATGATTGTAAGCCCAATTGTTGATGCAGATGATTCTGGACCAAACACAGTAAAGCATCAAATGTTTCGGGTCTGAGGGGAGATGATGAGAAGGAAACAGCAGTGAATAAAATAGACAAATAGAATCACAGAAGCAGAACAAACCAACGAAGAAGAGAGTGGTAAGTAGAACTTTGTCTAAGGGTGAGAAATCTGGTGGATTAGCTACAGGGCGTGAGTCGAGATAAGGAGGTTCAGTGCGGCAACGTGTCTACGTGATCAGAAATGTAGATGCAACTAAAACGGAGCGAAATTTGTTAGCATAATCGTCTAAAGGCCCCAATGAGGGCCAAGGATTCATGGAAAAGCTAGTTGTTGAGAAGTAAAATCAATACGTCGCTGGGTAAGCACCGAATACATGTAACTGTTGTGTGAAAGCAACATTCAACTCCAGGATTCCGAATGAATGAACGGATACGAGACCCAGAGAGTCACTTTGATATCCGCGGGACGGAACAGAGCGGTCAAGCCATGCGCGATATGGTGTGAGCCACACCCGTATACATATTTGACGGTTTACCAAAAGTCAGCATCTAGGCTGGTGATGATGCAAATTCCAGGGCTGAGCGGATTGATAGCTAAGGAATGTGATCGATATGTTCTTGTTATCCAATCACCCACACACACACGCACATAGATCGAACAGAACAGTTAGCCAGTCACTCAATTCGCAGCTTCTGCATTTCAGTGGAATTCAGCACAACTAAACACACCAAGCTGTCAAAAGCAGCTGATGGGTGCTATGATGCTTAATTGAGGCATGTCATGAAGATGCTTTCTTGGTGTGTAACCACCATACGCAGCATATACTGAACAATCCCGGTAATCGCGGGTAACTAGGGAAGGATACATGGAGACCAAGATGCACCACATCTGCGCATAGCTAACAAATAACATAAAACACTGACGCATTTGTGAACTGCGGACGGCGTGCATCCAGGGGTTTGAAAGTAAAGTGAGCGAAAATACCTCGACACTGCAGACAAGCATCCGGAGTGATTTACAGTAGAACTCAGTCACCGATCGGCACAATGGTTTTTTTTACAAAGCGTAGCGTAAGCTAGGATTTTGATTACTTTTTCGAAGGATATTCGTGGCCGACACATTCAGTCAGACAGCTGTTGTATATGCGGAAAAGCACTGAACGGTCATTTCATCTTTTCGAGAATCGTTGGCAGCGTACAGCCGTTTTGAGGCTGGAACAAGTGGTACCACTCTCACGAGTCCATGGGTAAGACCACCGGGTCACGGAGAAGAGTGACATCCGTCGTAACTCAGTAACTACCCGTAATATAGCACGTATACCATTCTCCGATGCCATGCGAGTTTCCAACGTACAGAGGACAGGGTTGGCCACCTGAGCTGAGATTTCCCAAGCTGAACCGCCATCGTTCGATAGCAGCAGAGAACATGTTATGATTGAGAGGCCTGATAAAGATTGTCACTGGCACGGTTGGAGCACACCTACGATAACGGCTTGGAACGTTGGCCAATCGAACGGATTTGCGCTGACCTGATGGCGTTAGGTTAGCCCGGGGTAGGCGCTGGTGAGACGGAAATTGAGCAAGCGTGAGAACGTTCCTAGCCGCAAGTATTCGGTAAGACCCTGAGCCCTCGTAACGGACGAGGTTAGGGTAGACGGGCGCTAATGGCTTAGACGCAAACGCTGCACGGCTACCGACGCACACAAAATCACGTGACCCGACCGACTCCTAAAAACGGTGAAGAAAAAGAAAGACAAATGGTCCTCTGAAGGCTCTTTTAGGACCAACAAAGGGCAAATCACAGCCAATGCTATGGGTCATTAAGTTAGGGAAAATAGCTACCACGACGGGGTGGTAGTTTGTGAAAGAACATTGTCAACAGGTGCGCAGTTGGGCCGCGTCTCGGAGTGACTGAAGACTGCTACGTTGTGGGGAGGAATTGGACCCCGCTTTCCACAGCCATTACGCCGGAGTTTGCGGCGCATTTTTGCGGGGATATTTGACGGGCCCGCAACACCTCCCTTTGAAGAAAAAGCGTACCGCTTCTGACGAGGATTGAACTGGAGGGATTTCGGCGACCTCCGGATTCTTCCTGCCCGTTGGCAACGCGGGTTCTCCAGACTGTTAGGAAGGAATACGCGAGTCGAACAAGCCAGGACCCCATCGCCGCGGCCGGCGATCCAAACTCTTCCGCCCTGATTGGGGCGAACAGAAAGCCAACCAGGAGAAGCGGCCAATGAATGCTAGGTCGAAGTTCCTTTATTGGTTGTAAGTTAACCTTTCCAGAGCTTTCCACGGTAGCTTTAAATACTATTCACGAACTTTCCATTTTACCTTTATAATGAACGGTGTGATTCGCTAATAGATCCCTGTTGCTCTGCTCGTCCGATCCTGTCTTCTTTCTGTCCTGTGTGGGGGCCAGCGACTTCGGGTTTGATTGGGAATCAAGCGTCCATTCAGGCGAGGGACGAACACTTCAGCTGGCGAAGGCTTGAACCCTAATCAAGATGTCCATATCGGATGATGAGCTCAAGGCCATTCTGCTGCAGCAACAAGCACAATTTGGGGCATCACAACTCAGGCTGATCGAAACCCCTACGCGCCAACTCTCAATCCAGACCGGTTCACTGTCTACAACCGTCAAGCCGTCCACATCGGTAGACGCCATCACTAACAGCATTATCGAATTTTCGTACGACCCTGATGCTGGCCTCACTTTTGAATCTTGATTCAAGCGTTATGAAGACGTGTTCCGCGTTGAACTTTGGGACCATGATGACGATTGGAAAGTCCGATTGCTGTTAGGGAAACTTGGAACAGCAGATCACTCCAAGTACGTCAACTTTATTTTGCCTAAGAACGCTCGAGACTGTACTTTTGAGAAGACTGTCAAAAGTTTTGGCCAAATATTTGGAGAGCAGTCATCCATCTTCAATACGCGATATCAATGCCCGAAGATCACCATGGTGGACGCTGATGACTACGTCACTTACACTGGTATCATCAATCGCGAGTGCGAAAAATTCGACATCAGATCCATCACGGCAGACCAGTTCAAATGACTGATTATTATTTGTGGCCTACATTCCCCACGGGATGCAGAGATTCGCACCAGGCTGCTGAGTAAACTTGAACAAGACCAACAAATGACTCCACAGACCATAACTACTGAATGCGAACGACTGCTGAACATCAAGCATGACACGCTTATGCTGGAGAAGCAACAATCAAACCCAAGTCTTAGTGTATTAAAAACCACCTCAAAGAAACCGCTTCCAAGTGAAAAAGGCCATGAAAAGCGCAGAGAGAATCCCAAGCCCCCG